CAGCTGAGGCCAAATCATTCTTCTTCACTAAAACCACTTTGACTGTAACACTGAGGGAAAATCTTAGATGCTTCAAACTTTCTAAACTCCAATTAAAACAAAWCTGAAACTATTATTTTGAACCCAGTGGTAATAGCAGTGCTGCTCCTATGGATCTGGGTGCTTTGGAATCATCTGTAAAATCTCGTCAAAAACTTGGGTGTGGATTCAAACTTCAACTTTGGGAAACAGATTAATTCTGTAGTAAAACAATTATTTTTTAAACTGAGACTCTTATCTAAAATCAAATTGTTTTACCCTTCAAAGAAATTGTATGTGTGAGCCATGCTTCTCAACTGGCATTTTTGCAACTCTCTTATGTTGATGTTAGCCWGGCTGGCCTCTCACTCCTGCAGCTGGTTCAGAATGCTGCAGCTCATCTTTTAACATGAATGAAGAAACATGATCATATCTCTCCTGTGCTGGGTTCCCTTAATTGGTTCCCTGTTAGTTTTAGAATAGATTTTAAAGTCTTATTGATGACCTATAAGGCCCTGAATGGACTGGCTCCTGAATACCTGTCTGACCTCCTGCAGTCCTATGCGCCCTCCAGATCTCTCAAATCCCATGATCATATGCACTTGGTTGTCCCGCGGTCCAGACTTGTCCACAAAGGTGACCGAGCCCTTTCAGTTGTGGCTCCTAAACTGTGGAACCAGCTGCCACTTCACGTCAGACAGTCCTCAACTCTTGCAGTTTTTAAATCTCATCTCAAAACAAATATATTTTCAAAAGCTTTTAATGTAGTATGAGTGTTGTTTTTCCCTACTTGTTTGGTCTGTTTTATGGTTTATCATTATTTGTGTATTGTGCTTTGTTTTAATAGTTGCATTATGTGAAGCAATATGGCCAAACACAGTCATTTTTAAATGTGCTATATAAATAAAGTTGACTTGACCCTAAATCATTCATTTGTACTGTAATTTTGATTACATATACAGTATGTTTGTTTAAAACATGCATGACTTGTACAAATTGACAAAATATGCTAAACSTTTAAAAACTATCTCCTCCAAAGCCGCAACGCCAATAAGCGAGAAACTTCTCATGTAGCACCTAGAGTAGTGGTTTTAAAAATGTTGTGAAGGAAAAATTGTTCTTTTTTTCTATGTTCTATGTTCATTTATATACAAAGCTAGCTTATTAGCATTACCAAAAATATTTTTTACATATGTTAATACATATTCACATCAAACTCATATCATCCATCCAATAAATATTTCTGACCATGTATTTAAAATTCCACATCAACCAAACCCTAGGGGGTGCTAGAAATGCACCATCTTTATATRTCAAAAATGCTAATGCCAATTGCTYCTTCACTCYCTTAAGACCACAAAKTGAATTTGTCTGTACAATATGGTAATGATTGGCAAAAGTGGGTGGGGCTTATAAATGACACACAATAAAATGTCATTTAAAATCACACATTTTACCTCCAAAAATCCTTCATCTCCCTGACTGTCATCAGGAACCAAAACCATCCTGCTTCAATTCTGTGGTGCACAAGATCAACAGAATGCTGGAAACATGAGCCAAAGTTGATATTTATAAATGGGCTTGGACCCCGGTCATAACTGCTTCACAGTTCATGTTGTTTCTGTGAGCTCTTCTTGTTTTTCAGATCCACACAGGTTTGTTCCATCTGTTCCATCAGCTCACCGGCCTCAGCTCAGTAATCACCTCTCCCAGCTTTTATAAGCTCTTTGGTTTCTTGAGTCTTTGTCTAATCCACATTTTCTACTCCTTGTCCTGTTTCTAAGATTTTAGATTTGTTGTTTGAGCTGTCTGTCTGTCTTGTCTCATGATGTGGACTTTCTTTCTAGGTATTTCCTGACCTCGTGACAGAAAAGCTGGAGGATCAGCTTTATTTCCTGTACATCTGTCATGTTTCATCTTTCTTTTTGCATTATGTTTTATACAGTGTGTAGGTGAAATAAATCAGTGCCCTAACATTAAATATTTGAAAGGAGATCAGTTCTCACAACTGCCTCCTTTTGGCACAGTTACATTTTTAGCTGAATTATTAAACGTGTTTGTTGCATTTTCAGGCAAAAATCCAATTTTTTTGTTATTTAGACCGTATGATTTTAAAACTTTGTTCTAAAAACTCTGATTTCAGTTCTGTCGAATGTTACAGAAGAATCAACATTAGTTTGTCCTTTCTTTCAAATGTTTTCTCAGCAGTAATTTTCTGTGTTTTAGCTGTCTATCTTCGACATCTCCACTGAGCAGCCACCAGCGCAGCACTGAGGTGTATCTGGAACTAATCCTCATGTGTGCACAACTACAGCAGTCTGCAGGCTTTTGCCTCAGTGCTAAAGAGGAGGTGGATTTTTTTTTTTTTTGAGCTCATAATCCTAACCCCTCCCCCTCTCCCACCCACCTCRTCCAAGACGTTGTCCGAATGCCTCTGTCAACAAGCTGGTGGAGCGAATCCCCACTTCAGCRGCCTCTGGGCCAGTCAAACACCAACCAGCAGAAACCCCTCTGAATACCAGTATGAGTGAAATTTGTAAAACAAAGGCAACACATTGAAATAATTTAATCAGACATAGTGACAGACAAACACAATTAAGCGTCTACAAACATTACGTGGTTTGTTGGTATTTTCTGCAGGTGTCCTAGATCAAAATCTGAGGAAGTCAGAATCTGTTGACTCAGTTTAGGTGCACAGATTCACAAATTCATCAGAGCAGCTAACCTTTCTAAACAAAAATATCAATACCTCGGTTGATTTTACAAATATTGAGCCAGGATTTGTTGTGTTTGTAGCTTAGCAACATCAGCAACAAATGCTTTGAGCTACATTATTTTAAACTGTGGCATCAGTTCAGTTTGTTACAACGTAGCTTATGAACCACTGGACGGATGAAAGTTTCATGAAACCATCAGGTATGCAGCAGGATATGTCAGAACCGGCATTCATCAGTAAGTTCATCCCATCACCCTGTTGGCAGTGATCYGACCAGCAGGCAGAACCAGCAGAATCTGATAGTCTGAACACTTTCTGCTGATATAATCCCTGCTAAGACTAGACCTCATTATCTTATCAAATACAGGAATGACTGCAGCACTGAACCTGCTGTGTCCAACCATCAAGGTTGTCTGTTTAAAATTCCATTTGTGTGACTAAAACTAGACGGTAAATGGACTCAGTCTGCTTGGTCCAGACAGACAGGTGGAAGTAGAAAACTAAGAAGTGTAGGGAGATAAATAAGAGAACATTTTCACCAACCCTTCTACAGCCACATTCAGATTACCAACAGGTGGATCTCCTTTAACATATTATCTAACTTCTTTAAGGTTTGAGCTTTGAAATAAAAGGGCTAAGCATCATATTTAGATTTATATTTTTTTGGATTTTTTTAATGTCATAATAATAATAATAATAATAATAATAATAATAATAATAATAATAATAATAATGACTTTGTTATTCTGTTGTAATATTGTAGAAATATTATTTATGATCAAAAATGTAAATCTGTTAAAACCCCAGGCAATAAAACAGAGAGAATAGAGCTGTTTGTGTTTGACTGCTGCCCTGTAACACAGCTGTGTATCTGAACATTTCAGTTTATTTTGTTACACGGTTAAAGCTGAAAACATTTCATTCTCAGAAGGGAAATGTCTGCCTCTCTGACTGAAGTATTTGACTGGAATGTTTTTGTGATGGAGGTGAGACACAAACTTGACCCGCAGGAGAGAGAAGGAGGGAAAAATAACTTTGTTCAAAAAAAACATCAACAAACCACATTAAACATCATGTAACCTAGACTTTTTTTTTTTTACAAAAGAAATGTACCGTAATACAAATAGTAAATCTGATGTTGTTAGAGATTCAGGAAATAAAGCCAAAATCTGCATCATTAATATTATCAGTTAGAAGTCACTGTGAAGCTTTTATAAACTGGTTTAGAGTGGGTCATTTACAAGTTTAATCATTTTTCAACACATGATCTCAGTCTGAAACACTGGTTAGAAAAGGGGCAGGGTCGTACACATTCCTGCAAAAAAATGCTAAACATTTAATTTACACTACCAATCAAATGTTTTTTTTTCTTTTTGTTTCTGTAAATTAATACAGAAGTCATCCAGAAAAACAGAAAATATCACTAAAAAAAGAAATATTACAAACCTATTTAGAAGGCTCATCTCAGTCAGGTGTGAGGATAAAGCCTGGATTACATTAAAGAGCAATGAAGTCTTAATGTCAAAACAATAAAAGCTAAAGCAGGCAGCAACTATTGACAAAATTTCTGTTATTGTATTTCACATTTATAATCATGAAACTGATTGACAAAATGACAAAAACGTACACGGCTGTAATCAATGTTTAACATTTTAAGTTTACTACATGGTTCCTTATGTGTTTCTTCATAGTCTGGATGACTTCAGGATTATTTTACAATGTAGGAATAAAACAAAAACAAACGTTTGACAGGTAGTGATGCAGGTCTGGTATAAAATGTAAAATAGGCCATGTAGAAGACAGAATATCCTTTTTAAAATACTGCTTAATTTGTTGTATTGTGCGGTTCTTAAAAATATGTAGGTCTTCTCGGACCTCTGATTACAGCTGATCTAACACTGAAGTTTCCCAGCAGCACCCGAACACAACTCAAATCTGTGTGCGTCCAAARCCTGAAGCAAAGGAGGGGAAAGGGCAGACCTGGTAATCTGCCACCTGTCAATCATCTGTTGTGACCCACTTCATCAGTGTGTGTGTGTGTGTGTGTGGGGGGGGGGGGGCAGAAATACTCTTTTCCCTTTGAAGTTGTGCAACAATTTAAAACAGCAGATTAAATCTCTTCAGCCCCTCCTTCATAAAACATCAGAGATTCTGTTTTTGTGCTTCTGATCCAAGAGAACCTCAGGCAGAATCCACAAGCAGCAGCAGAAAAAAAAAATAAACGGAACAAAAAAGAAAACTGTCAGGAAGACAAARGTGGACTGACCTGAGGAGGACCGTCTCTCCCTGCCGGACTGTGATGTTGTCCATCACTCTGCTGTCAGAACCCTGCTGGCTGTGGACCGAACCTGCAAGGACAAATAGAATCCTCAGAGACAGAGCTGCACATCTGGAAAAGTCCCTGTTGACAGGCATCATCTTCAGCCCCTCAGAGACGCTTCAAAACGAAACACAACAAGGCGCGTGGAAACAATCCCTAAGAGATTATTTACTCCTGCTTCATTAGTCCTAATCCAGATCTGCAGGACACACCATGTTCCGGCGCAGACACAAACGCCAAACTGCCTGCTGCTGGCCTTGTCTGCACGTATGTTCTCCTTGTTCCAGCTTTTATTTAATGATTAACATGAACACATAAATCCTTTGAACAAGTCTGTATTTATCTGATCTGAGAGCAGAACCACTTCTGTTTGGATCCATCTGTCAGGAACTGGATTTAACTTGTTACTTTGTAAAAACACTCTTTAAGGTGAGGATCAAAAAGATTTCTATCGATRGCTACAGGGATCATAAAACCAGAAATAAAAATAAAGTTCTGAGATATTGACAAAAAGTAACAGAAGCGACGTTCACTGGCAGATAATTTAAATGTATAGCTGAAAGTATTCTGATTGTTGTTAACACTGAATATAAAAACAAGCATTTTTTTATTAATTAGAGTATTCTAAACATTAAATGCTTMTCATTGTTTAATGAAACCACCTGCAACCTTTATGATATTTGTCAAATGTTAAATATGAG